ACCGTTCCACGCAATTTCAAGGATTTGACATTGAATAAAATTGAATTTTTTTTTTGCTAAGTTCTTTTGGTGGATTCACAGTTATAGAAGTAAGTTTTTATTTAGTTTTTACTGTACTCAATTGCACCCCCTGCTTTAAGTATGATTCTATTTATCATTTTTATAAATATGTAGATCACTTTCTCTGTAAAAACAAGTTAAAGTTCATTGTGCTTTTGAAAAAAGTAGACAGTGAAGAGTAGATAGAATAAATTGGGACAGTTATATTTGAATAATTTATAATCAGTGCACCGTCACCGGTTCACGAGATTATTCTAATCGTGTTAGTACTACGATCTCGATTCAATTTTGCATTCTATACTAATTGGCATTTCAATTTGCCTTGTGCATTAATTTCACGTGAAAATGAAAAATGGTGTATTCCAGAGAAGCTGAATCGTTATTTCGTTAGTTCGGTTCGTCTACTCACTCGAAGATGGAGCTGTAGCGACTGATAGTCTCGTTCGGCATTGAACCGAATAGTTCCTCGAAGGTGTCTGCCCAGGGAAGGCCACAGAATTTTCTACAATGCAATTACCGAGATACATACATGTATTATCTTGTTGCCAGTTTATCATGTGTCACGTAAAATTTACTAACCTGAATTCCATGTAACTGGGTATTCCGAATTCACGACCGCGTTGCATATTAAAAGAAACCAGGTCTAGACCAAACTTAGCTCCAGCCTTTTTGAATAAATGATTGGTAACCTGGAATCACGATGAATTACAGTAGTACGTGTCTTTAGATCTTAATAGGAAATTCTACTAGAACGTGTCAATACTTCTTGCGTGATGGAATCATCCATAGCTTGGGCAACCTGGTTCATCAATCCCATAATGTATTCGTCGAAGACGCCAGCTCGATACAAGTCGTAGGGTCTTCTGATTAAATCTGACAGTCTCTTGGATGCTGGATTGAAATTAATAGTAGATTGATTTTATTAAAATTTGTGAAATATAAGAAAATTAAATGTTATTTTTAACTTCAAAATTTTGTTTTTCATATTCATGTTTCATACGGTCATATAAAAGTGTGCATAAAAATAATTGTAACAAATCTTGACTCCTTAATTACTGTTTCATTAGATAAATCGCTTTAACTGTATGGAATTTTAGAGAGTAAAAAATAGATTACCTATGAATTTATGAGCTTTGCTCCATCTTTCTACCGCAGTCGGTAACAACGAGTGGCCAAACCTAAACGCCGCGGACGCGAAAGCATCAATCACTGCTGGATTCACACTTTCATCGTAGCCGTCCCAGTATGCCTTTGGAAGTTCATTTAAATTGATTAATACAATTATTTAAAAAAGTTCTGGTTGTAGAATATAGTATGATTCGTTTAATTTGAAAGTAGTTTAAGTCCATTAAAAAAAGAACCGTATAAAATATAAATAGATAATATAGAATTATAATTATTATTGCTGTTAACTTGATTTCCTTGAATAATTGTTTGAAAAATAATCTACTTTCAACATAAATGACATACATTCTTTATTTTTTAAATTTCGTGCTAACATCTTCTTACATTTTTCTCGAGTATAAGTCCAAATTTCTGCATTACGTCCTTTCCAAGCAGAATAGGCAAGAATTCATTGTAAGTGATGTGCTGTATTTGTGCGATGATAATCCGCCTAGCTTCCTGGAACAGTGTTTCGTCGTCCCAATGCGGATTAATTTGGTTCAGGCTCTTGGCAATCCTGTTGTGCTCCCTCGCCATTAAAGTGTGCATACAAGTCAGCACTAACTGTTCATTCACTCGTATCTCACCTGTAGACAAAAGTCGCGGTACGTTCAGCAAGAATGTTGACCAGTATCTTTTAAAAGTGCGTTATATTTTTTCCACGAGGGAAAAGTGGGGCAACCGCATTCCTCGGTTAAAAAACATTGTGAATCGAATCGAATATCGAGAGATTGAATTCCAATAATTATATTTAAACTATCAATATTCTGATCCTGATCTCAGTGTTTCAATCGTAACACTAGAAATTTTTTATTTTTTCAACATTAAAAATCTTTAATTAATTCAAAACTATAAATTATTAGTCGTTTCAACATTAGAACTGTTTAATCATTTCAAAATTCAATATTTTTAATCGCTTTAATATTAGAAATTTTTAATTATGTCCTCATCAGAAATTGTTAATCGTATTCTTAATATAAAGGTAGGCAATAAGCCGGTACTTCGAAAGGAGCGAAAGAAGCGTGTCGAATAATTGATTGCAGTCTCCCATTAATCAAATAAGATGCATTTATTTATCTCGGCAGAGGCGTTTATCCGAGCATGTTTCCTGAATTAATTGCCCCGATAAATGATGCATGAATGAGTATGGTCTTTTTGCCGATTATTCTGGCAACTTCACCGATGAAGCTGTCGACCTTGGTTCCGGGCCACTCCCTTTCTACGCCGATAATCGACCGATCGAACGGCTATCAACGTTCTTCGGCTCAACGGTGCAGAATGCGACCGTTCTGAAAGTAAATTTCGACACTGCCACCGGTAGATAACGCGACGATTATTATCGTTTATCCGGTAGCAACGCGTAACTCCGTACACGGTTATTAGTTAATTACGACATGCGAGTAGTTCCGTCGTGCGACGATCGATTCCTTCTTATGTTCTTCTACAGTGGGATTAATCGACGCCGAGCGTTTCGTCGTTCCAAGAACCGACGTATGTAAAGTGAACGCAAATATTAATACCACGATCGAGCAATCAACTTTCAATGCCTCGAACAGCGTTGTTTTTACGTACATGAAAAAGCTTTATTCGCAGGAATTCTACAGTATTGATGCAAACCGTAACATGCATAATTTTAGAAAATATAATGTTGAAAGAGGATTATTTTGCTACTGTATTTTATACTTTGATATGTTGACCGATTCGGATTTATTACGATTATTCATTTAATCTCCTTGTTTCTTATAAGTTTTAATGATATTTAGTTCATTCGATGCACAATCGTAAAGACTAGTATTTATTATAGCAATATAAAATTATAACAGACATTTTTACTGAAGAGGTACGCTACGTTTTTGTGTCGTTATAAACAACGGAGATATTTCAGATTCTAGTGTTAGTTGATTCTTTCATCGATGAAATAAAATAGTAGATAAAGTCATCGTTGCAATTGAGAAATTGTAACAAAACTTCATTTTCCAACCGAGATTAAGCATTTACGACCGCTAACTATTAACTGCGGCTAGGTAACTACAGGTTACTGTGCTCGAGCGTATTATGATTGAATTGTTTCTTAGGTACGCGTGATTATCACGTAGGATAAACGTGATTTTCCTTTAACCGGCTGAACAGAACGTGGGAAAAGTTGCTGCTCTGTTAGCGAACGTTGACGGGGTTGCGATAACATCATGAACGGTAATGACTTTTTTTTGCCGCTTACAATATAACTGTCTGATCGAATCAGGAACGTAGAAAATTTTGATTTGTACGTTGTTTGTACGTTTTATCAGCGTGCCTCTTAGATAGTATCACGTTTGACCATTGCAAACAGGTTTTAATGTATCGAGAAAACTTTCTTCTCTTTAAGAAAATTATTACAGTTCAATATTAATAATATTAATAATATAAGAATAAAATTATTACACCTTTTCATATCTGTGCATGAATTTTAACTGTACGAAATGAAAGGTAGTCGCTTGCAGTTCACTTAACACTAGGATTACCGTACCAGTCAAAATGACTAATTCCGGTTTTTTTGTTTCGCAATTATTGAATATTCGAAATAATTTTGAAAATAAATAGTTTCATTTGAATACTATAATAAATTTCTGGACAAACTGAAAATAATCTATTGTTACAATTTTTATAGGGATTACGTATGAATCGTATTAAATGCTCGGTAGATCTAGTGTCAACGAATAATTAAAGTCTTGTTATATTACCATTGCCGCAGAAGATTAAAAAATACCCACTTGGGGAAAATAGATTTACCTGCTTCGAAGCAGTACATCGATCGGTTTGGTCTCGTGCAACCCTCGTCCGGGATGTCTAGTTTCAACGGCAGTAGATCTTTCAGACCGTACTCGGAGAAGACCGGATTCATACGTAATAGTCCGCCATATCCAGTTCGAAGTTTCCTAAAACACGAGAAGATTTGAGTAAATTTCATAAAGTACAGACCTGCTTAAACCTTTAAAATCATTATAGATAAAACCTCATCCTATGTGAATTTTATTTTAATATCATTAATATATCGCAATGGATAATAAGATTAGTTTCTACAATATTCATTAAGTGTCTCTCTTTAACGACGAGTTCCAAGAATAATTGTTACATTCAGAAGTTCCATGATGTTGACTTAATATCGAGTCGAGTTTGAATATTTAGAGATATAACCGAAAGTATCCGTATTTTAAGTCAAAAAGATGGAACTTAAAAATTAATTTCTGTCAGTAGCATGAAAATTATTCGTCAAGCATTTCCCAGGGACATCAACTATCAGAGTCCATTAGATGGACCTGTCTGTTCGTTAAGTGACGTCCAGTTCACAGACGCGTGAAATTTCGTGTTGTGGAACGCCTTAAGCGTCGGAGAAAGACCGCGGGTGCCCGATTGGGAAACCGTGGATCTCATAATGCGAGCGGACTAGAAAGTGCGAGAAGTATAGAATGTATGTGTATCCTAACGTTAGAAAATATAGAACAAACGTAATGCTGATTTATTGTCGCGGATGACGTAACGGACGTGCGCCTCGTTCTGGAGCCGCATCGAAGGGACTAAGGAGGCAGCCAGCCGCCACTTTGGCAGCAGTGTTGCAAGTGTGTTCAATAACCGAACGCCCGGCTATTATTGTTCCGACTATTATTACGTTGTTCGTTTTTCCCTTAAGAGACGCATATTATGAGGCAACCGAGACACTTTGTACCGTGTTCCCATTATATCTTTAAGGCAGGATTTATTGGGAACAGTTACGTATGATAGCGACGATTGAAGACTGAGCTTGTCAGCCTGCGTTCTCTCCGCTGGTAATCCCACAGTTTATAAGGGAAATCGGGAAGTGATTCAAAAATAACTTTGTTGATGTCTCTAATATGACTTGTCTGGATATAACGGATGATAGGCTTGAGGTATTTATAAGAAATGTAATTAACATGTAGTTCGTTGGATACTTATTACAGGAGAGGAACTAAATCTGTTGATTTTAGCTTCGTCTCACGAGAGAATGTACAATTATTTGAACAAGCAATTGGTGCTTACCGTAGTACAAACGGTAAACCGTGAATAGAAAATAGATTTCTATTGAGTAGTAGATTTTTGAATTTAGTGTTGTTGAAAGAAAAGCATTATACAAAAGAATTCTGTTCTTGCGACTTATGTTCCTATATGAAAGAACTTATTATCCTACTGTACCTTCTCATATATTACTAGTCTTCAAAAATGATTAATTATAACTTAAACTGTTATTAAATTGCTGCTAAAAATAACTTAAATAGTTTAAGTAGAATTTACCGGTAGATTTAACTTAGAATAATTTTGTTCAAGCTATTTTTGAGTAACTCTCGATGAGTACCAAGTGTAGATAGACATCGTTAATTATAGGTCCATATGAACTTTGAAATCAATGGGCAGAGCAGAGTAAATTGAATTTGAGTTTCCAACGGACTATTACCTGCCAAACGTTTCCGTGACTCCGTAGACAGTATTTCCGTCCAATACTCCCGTGAGAAGATTAAAAGGCACGCGAGATCCGAGACGGCAACCGGGTCGAACGGCTGGAAACGCGCGAACGAAATCCATGCATTTCACGTTGAACAACCTGTAGAAGTAATCGTCTTCCGGTATGTAGATCTCGTTGCAGTAAGGATTCTTTAGGTGCGGAGGTCGATGGCAACATTCCTCGGGGTCGTTTCGGTTCAGGGGATCTGAAACAGCGAGATCATTGATCACATGAAAATTCCCGGCATTCCGTTTCCTGATAGCATTATTTATTTAATTCCAGCCCCATAGGCGTCATTAACTTTCCCTGTCGATCTATCTAGATACAGGCGTATGTGCGGCTCCGTTGTTGTTACGTAGAAAGATTTTATAAAGAGCGAAGGTGCGAAGATTAACGAATGATCGCTTTATGCGGTACTCAGTAATATTTACTTGGTCGGTACTAACTAGGAAAGTAATCGAACCCGATAATTCAAACAATTATGGAACCTTGTGTAAGTAGAATAAGTCAAGCCTAACACATTGCAATATTTTTTGTACTGAATTTCACTTCGATGGGCCGGTTTCACATTTCAAAGTGAAATTCGTAAAGTAGTAAATACTCGATTTACACGCAAAGTTTCATAATTTGTTGTATTCCCAAGTCCGATAACTTCTTTCGTAAGTTATGTTTAAGTTTTGAATTCATGTAATAAAACATACAATTCCAAGTAGCCTAAGATCGAACGAAATTCATTTATCAACTATCCACGAATATCAATTCAATTATATCATCCTATCATTCGCAAATCCTCTAGTTTTCAGTTCCCTTCGTAAACAAGAACTTATTTACGCCGCCATCTCCGACACGCCCCGTAAACCACGATTCTCTTAAATGATCGGTATCTTCAGATTCCCATTCCCTGGGTAAACACGAAATCCCGTTGATAAACACGATTCTCATGTCGTATATCATTTTTAATGTACCTCCGGTGACACTTTTCTCCCAGAAGTATGCACATAATGAATTTTTCTGCGGTATCGCGTAACAACTGCCACCCTCCTCCTCCCCCTCCTCCTC